TTACGTTCACTCCCCCTGCCGTGGTCATGCAGGGTGGACCTGCAGTTCTGGGTGTCACCCAGGTCCCCCCAGCCCCGCACACCGCATGGTCTGGACCTGAACAGGAATCCCACAATGGTATCATTAAATGGTTTGAGTTGGAAGGCTCCGTAAAAATCATCTAGTTCTAACCCTTGCCATGGACAGGGACATTTAAGTTGCACCAGAGGAGGTTCAGGTTGGATATTTGGAACAATTTATTCTTGGAGAGAGCGGTGATGCGGTGGCACAGCCATCCAGGGAGGTGATGGGGTCACCATCCCTGGAGGTGTTCAGGAATAGTGGAGATGTGGCACTGAGGGATGTGGTCAGTGGGGTGGATTGGGGTTGGCCTGGATGATCTTAGAGATCTTTCCCAACCTTAACGATTCTGTGATTCCATGACTGGGACAGAGATGAGCTGAGGATGAACCACTGGGCATACGGAGGGGCCGGGTCCTGCCCAGGGCTGTGCCATGGGGCAGCCGTGGGCTCTCAGGGTTGATCCTTGCGTAGGCACTGCACTGCTGGGACTTGGCCTGCCGCAGCCTGTGGGCTTCTAATTTACTGCTTTCCTTTTACCGTAAAACAGAAAGGGGAAGGTGCACCCTTTAATCGCTGCCTCCGGGGCCCCGCCTGAAACCACACAGCGGCTGAGCGAAGGCTAGGAGTTAATGCTCCTTCCGACACCTTTTTATGATTCATGGGCCTGACCTTGAGCCATAAACCGCTCAACCTCCCTGACACACTGGCAGTATTTACAGCCTGCGGGACCGGGACATGCAGCAACAGATGCAGCTGCGTGGTTGGGACAGGCGCAGGTATGGGTGCGACAGGTAGCAGCCGAGAGGCAGAGGGATGCTGCAGGCTGGGATGTCCTGGATTTATCCCTCGCAGAGGCATCCCAGGTGAGACTTGTGGAAGCTGCCATGGGAACTGGAGCGGGGTGAGACCTGGTGGTCAAAGAAAAGGTTGAGCAGAGCCTAACACACTCTCTGCTTTTTGCCTCAGTTTCCCCACTGCTGCAGCAGCACTAATCCTGACTCATCCTGTTTGCATGGAGTTGGAAGACCGAGCTCACAACTGTTTGCAAAGTGGGTTTGGCTCCTGTGATAGAGCTAGCCAGAATGTGAAGGTCATTATTATTAGCAGGATTCAAGTTTAGATTAACCCAGTACAGGTGAGCAGCTGTGCTGTGCTCAGCAACAAAACACACACAACCTCAAAGTATTGACAAATACAATAATAAGCAATGAAAAAATAATGGCAAACATTATAAGACCAGCAAGTTGCCAAACTGCCCCCAAAACGTGCTTCTTGAAAGCAGAAGGGACTGAGCTATGCCATTCCCAGGGACATCCATGGGACATCAGGATAGCCAGGAGCTCAGCGATGCCCATGAGTCCTTCCAACTCTGGCCTTCTATGATTCTATGATCCAGATCTTTAGGAGCCTGTGCTCCCTCTGCATGTACCCAAATCTCCTGGTGTGGGCTCGTGTGTGTCACTTTCCCCATCCTCCCCAGGCATCCTTCTTCCTCCTCTGACCGACAACACATATCACAGTAATGGGAAACTCATATTGGAACAAGAATTTCAATTTGGAACAGGATTTTATTTTTATTCATTTATTTTTTTTATTTTGAGTTTGCAAGTTGTCATTTTTTTTCCCCCTTCTCCTTGTGAAACAAAAGAGGGAAAACTCATCCTTATCTCAGAAAGCAGAGTTCAGGAAAAAGCTACTGGTCTTTTGGACTCAGTGGGTCCTGTTTGGTAGCCTTGCTTGTCATTGGGAATTTATCAGCCAAACACAGATCTGCTATAGTGTGCCATATAACTAGTGCATAAACAAACTTCAGCATGATAAATGAGCTACTTTGAAGCCATAAAGTTATTAGCTAGTGGCTGTTAGCTACTGCTTAGAGAGCACTCAGAGAGGGGTGTAGAGTTCCCTCTGCTGCCTGTAGCTCATGTCTGCTGTGCAGCATCACGGGGGGCTGCCAGGTCCTGGAGCATCCTAACCTACACGTTGCAGGGCTGTAAGGGTCCCTCTGGGCCACCTCCTGCCCCTGTTCCCACAATGTGCTGGGGGTGGCCAGGGCTGGCTGCGTCCCCCTAGCGCTGCTGGGATGCAGGAGATGTCTCGGCGGGGCCGGCAGTGGGGCAGCGGGATGCAGAGCTGTCTCAGTGCCTGTTCCTCATTAGAAGCCCGGTGTTGAAGAAACTCATAATTAGAGCCCTGAGTATTAATTAATCTCCATGACCCTCCTCTCATTCTCCTTTCCCCGCTCTCAATGCTCAGGAGGTCAGCCTGCATTATTAACAAGTGCAAGTGCAGGATGGCGAGCGTGCAGAGTGGGCTGGCAGCAATGTAGGGCTCAGACCTTGGGTCCTGTCCCTGTGTTCAGAACAGCGTGTGTCTGGCTCCCCCCGTGTTGCTGGTGGAAGCAAGTGTCCCTCCCCATGTGCCTTCGTCTGCTGCTGGGCTCAGCTGGGAACATCCCACTGCTGGAGACCTGGCACTAGGGCATGCCAACAAGGCAGCCCGGCACAACCCCACCGTGGCACGCATCTCTGCCCTGCCTGACCCCACTCAGGGGCGGCCCCTCAGTAGGACTAGAGAGGATGGCCTCAAGCTGCACCAGGGAGGTTTAGGTTGGATATTAGGAATACATTCTTCTCAGAAAGAGTGGTGATGCAGTGACACAGGCTGCCCAGGGAGGTGGTGCGGTCACTGTCAGTGGAGGTGTTCCAGAGCCGTGGGGATGTGGCACTGAGGGACGTGGTCAGTGGGCAGCATTGGTGGTAGGTGGAAGGCTGGACAGGACCATCTTAGAGCTCTTTTCCAACCTTAATGATCCCGTGACTCTGTTCTATGCTCCCTGCCTTGCCCATGCAGGCTTGGCCAAATGGAGCACAGCCTGAGGACTGGGAGATACCGAGAGCTGCCAGAGAGCGACAACACAGCAACACAAGATATTACATAAATCCAAACTTTTCTGACTCCCTGGTAACCGCCAACTGCTTCCCTGATCTGATTTTTCCCCTTTTCTGCTGGAGCAATAAAAAGGGGAAAATCAACATCCAAATGATCTTGTTTATGGCGACTAAATAAGCTGCATGTGCTTAATCCGTTAGAGTTTAATGAATTTACGACTTGCTTTGGAATTTGACAAGGGCTGTAAAAGAGTAATTAACATTTATCAGTGTGTTTTTTTACACACACCCCGCCCTCCTCCCTGCTCCCTGCCTCCTCCCACCGCCTGTCGCAGAGCAGCACTGGGTACTGGGGGGAATATAAAAGCGATCAATTAATTCTTAATAATCTCAGGGAAAGATTGTAGAGTCGCTGTATGAACTCAGGGAGTGTCAATAAAGGTGCCAAAGGTTGGCCCCCTCATCGGCGCTGCGGAGGAATGTGGGTGGCTGGGAGGGGACGGGGCAGTGGGGCTGTGGTGGAGCAGCCCTGCACACCTTTGCTTTTCTCTGATGGCCTCCAGAGCGATGCTGGGACACCTCATCCTGGTGGCTGTAGGGCAGGAGGAGAACCCAAATCCTCACTATCACCACCCCTGTGTAATCGCACAGACAGATCGTGCAATGGACATCAACCATACACAGTTTATACTGCCCTGCTTTCATAGAATCATAGATTCAGAGATTGGAAAAAGTCGCTAAGATCATCCAGTCCAACCCGAACCCATCCCCACCATTCCCACTCATAGAATCATAGAATCTTTAAGACCATCGAGTCTTACCATCCAACCACCAGCCCATCACCACCAATGCCCATTAAAATTCTGTGCCATGTCCCTTGAACGCCTTCAGGGACAGTGACCCCACCACCTCCCTGGGCAGCCTGCACCAATGCCTCACCACTCATCAAGAGTCTCCTGGAGGAGACAGCAAAGCTATCTGGGCTCGGCGATGGGGCAGAGGGGTCCCACGGACCTACAAACAAAAGCTCAGGATGATAAATCCTCAGAGGTTTGAGACTGTCCGGGCATCTGCTCTGGACAGAAACAAATTCTCCCTGTCGAACATAATGGCCCAGAAATAAGCACTGAGGCAGAGAAGGAGAGGGCTGGACCCAGAGGGTCTGGAATATCTCCCCCTAACCCCATGGCGAGCACGTGGGAGGGATGAGCACTGGGCATGCACACACAGGGCAGGCAGGAGCACTAGGATTTATGACCGGGTTATTCGAGGCAATGGGATGAGCACAGGAAAGAGAAGCAGAAAATAACAGGATGAACTTACATCATTTTCAACCTTCATTTCACATGTACCATCTTGTCCACAGGGAGCAGAGCAACCAGCACCCCCAGCACGAGACTCACTGAGTTATATTGGTGGCCCCAACAGGACCCATCGCTTCCCAGATCCTGGGATGCTGTCCCATGCCCTCCTGCCTGCTCTGGCTCAGCTGTGCTGCTGTCAGCCCGTCTAAACAGCGTGGCTGGGGTCAGCATCCTGGTGGCTCTGGGATTTGTCATGGGATCTGCAGAGCACAGCTCACAGCAGGCACCCCCAGGGGCAGAATGGGTGCACGGAGGGGGAGAGCATCCCAAAGGGGACACAGAGCTGTGATCACCAGCAACATCCATTGGATCAGCATCTTGGGACAGGAGCTGGGAGGTGACCAGACTGCTTCTCTTTGGGATAATGGGACCACAGAGGGGCACACAGAGGTGGCAGGAGTCCCTAGCATGCTGCTTGGGGTCTTAAGCCCACAGTCAGCGGTGCTAAAGATGATTGTAGGCTGTGGCTATAAGAAATCTATTGATCTCTTGGACTCTCTAATGACAGATTAACCATTTTAATAAAACGTCTGTTAATCATGCATTAACCCTTCTCAGCTACTCGTACATTCAACATCAAACTGAGGAGGACGGTGGGATTTCTCAGCACCATTTTTGGGGGAGAAGGGAGGAAAAGACTTACTTAGGTAAAAACGACAACAAGAAAAGAATGCAAACTTACAGAGGGGGAGAGTTAAAATCATACGATGAGTGGCAGTTGCAGACGCCTGGGGCCCTCTTTGGCTGTCGCTTCTATCTGGCAATCAATCGACAAGAAATGGGGATTATGAAATATTGTGCCTGTGAGTAAAGGAGGGGGTTCCTTCCCCAGTGTGTGACACCTCCGCTCCCACCGGGACACAGCATGGCTAATGTCACCCATCTGGTGTTGAATAGGCTTTAGGTCACCCATGCCCATCGTCCCCATACGTCTTTCTGACCAACTCCAAGCAAGGCCATGACATCATAGAATCATAGAATACCCCAAATTGGAAGGGATGCATCCTAGCAAAGGATCTCGATGCCTCTGATTTCTTATGGGAATGGGACTTGGCATATGGGAGCAAGACACTGGGATTGGGCATGGAGAGAAGGAGGCAAGGGAACAGCTGCACTGGTGCAGAATGGGACAGGGGGCTCTGCCATGTGTGCACAGCCTCCCCGGGGCCTCTTGTGTAAGCACCAGGGAGAGGACAGGCACTGCTTCCTCTTGCTGGAGCCGTTGCAGCCTCAGAAACCACCACGTCCTCCCTGCTTCCTGCAGGTGCCCATGAATCACACCTTGTCACTGTGTTGCCCAACCGCCCCTCCGCTGGCCAGGAAAGGGTTAAGCGGGCATTCATCACCCTGTTTGAGAGATGTTTCAAAGCCTCTTCCAAATATTATAAAAAATGCCTTTAATCATCTAATAGCACAAACTCAGCCCATGATGGATGGAGAGAAGTCGCCTCTCTCCTCCTGATCCTAACAGATGAGACTGAAGAGCTGCTGCTCCGGGGGGGAGGAAAGTTGGGGAGGGGGCTGGGGAGAGAGAAGGACATTTCTCAACCTCCCACCAGAGCAGTTATAAATATGAGGTCATACAGCAAGGGATGATAACGCATTAAGGGCTCTTGAGATATTAGTCTGTCAGCTTCGTTAGACACAGCCTATTTGGGGCTGACTGCATAATTAGAGGCTGGGGTACCCATAACTCATTGGTGTTTATATGGTGGAAGGGGCTACGCTCACCATCACCCTCAGCACTCTGAAAAGTCATCTTCAGCAGGCATCTAGCTCTGCTCCCTGCTGCAAAAAAGCACACAAACCCTGGACAAAATCCTGCTTCTGCCCTTCTGCAACCCCCACTCTCTTGCGGGTTGGAATGGGAAGACAGAGGTGACAGTCTGGCCCCGGGGAGCTCACGGGAGGTGCAAAGTCCCAGTCCTCCTGCCTGCCCCATGGGATGCTTTGCCCCTTGCAAAGGGCTGTGTCCACCATGCACCACCCCATGCTCGTCCTTCCCATGTCATTCCCAGGGAGTTGGTTTGGGCTGGGATGGGAATGGGCCGTGGAGGTGGCTGTGTACTGGATAAGGATGGGGAAACAGAAATGAGCCCAAGGAAAGGAGAAAGCCTGAGAATACCATGGGACAGCACTGTGAGCATCCCCAGCCCTGCATCCCCTGTAACCTTCACCAGGAACCACATTTAAGCAGCGACCTATGAGAGAGGGCAAAGACCCCACAGCCTGGGCAGAGGTGACACCTTTTTTGGGAGTGCAAGCACTGGTGAGACAGTATGGAGCTGATTGGTGTGAACAAGGAGCTGGGCTTTGCCGGGCTGCTCCACTTTCTCTTCTCAGTTCTGCCTCACTGGTGGTGAGCATCGACACCGCGGGGCACTCCCCAAACCCACCCGCTCCAAAATTGAACAAGTGAAACAAGGAAGGGGAACATTTCCCTTCTGCAACCGTGTGCAGTGAGGGCACTGCAGGAGCTGCTCCTGCTCTGGGGATGCCAGTAAGCAGAGCCCAGGGGCTGCCCTGCCATCCCCTCATCCTGCACACCCTGCAGCTGGGGAGGGGGCAAGGGGTCTGCAGAGGCGGGGGCAACCCCATGGCTTCCCAGGCTGAGGCAGGATAATGAATCCTGATGGGGGAAGTGACCTTTTCCAAATGCCACATGTCATTGGATTTTATATCACACCAGGACAATGCACCATGGGTATTAAAATCGTTTTTCCAATAGGAGTGCGTTGTGTGTATGTGCGTGTGTGTGTCAGGGAGAGATGTGAGAAAAATAAAATTAAGATGTGAAAATAAAGCTACCTCTAACTATGGCTTTTAGAGAAGACTTGGGTCCTGGCAGGGCAGCACTGGCAGAGCCAATCATGCCCTTTGCTCCTGAGGCCATGAGTGATTTTGTCAGGGAAATGTCCTGATCCCCATTTCTCAAGTTTTGCAGAGACATCCACTTCTGCAGCATCCCCTATGCACAGGAGCACACCTCCAAAGCTGCTCACGGAGCCATGCACAAATGTGAACAGAGTATGCCATGCCTCTTGATTCCCATTGGCGCTAGGCTGGGCTGTGCATGCAGGGGAAGCAAAACTTTGCTCAACTGCCAAAGCCAGACTAGGGGGTCTCACCCTTTAAGCCCCTGTGAGACAGCACAGGGAGGTACATGGAGCATCTTTATGCTGGTGCACACCGGTACGGGACACACTGAACACAAAGATGAAAGCACAGAGTGAGAAGGGAGTCACTGGGAGCCAAGCCTGCTTGAACTCCAGTCTGTTCCCTCGATCTGCAGGGCAATTGTCTGGCTGAAATAACAATGCTGAGACACACACACACACACACAAAAAGAAAAATAATAAAAAAGAAGACAAGCTGTGTTTGTTTATTCAGCTTCTTTCTCCCGTTCTGTCCTCGACAATGCCCTGACACTGTGTCCTGCTGCACCGGGGCTGCAGCCCCAATAGGCTAAATTTATCCCAGCTGGAGCTGTTTACAAGCCTTGTCCTGTTTACAGCGTGGCCCATCCTGCTCACTCTGAGCCCGACAGCCTGTGCTTCCCGTCCTTGGGCAGAGCCACTGGGGGCTATGGGGAGAAGTGGCACTCCCAGCTGCTGCTCGCCCACTTCAGTGCTTCAGTGATGGCACAACGGGACACCACATTTTCTTCCCCAGTATAGGGCTCAGGATGTCCCACGCCCGTTCCTGACACCAACGGCTCACCCAGGCTCTCAGGAGCTCAGTCTCTCCCCCAGTGACCAACCCATCAATCCGCTCTGCTCTCCCAGGCTGCCTCACCCCACAGTGCCTTCAGCAGGGCTCACTTGGCAACATCCAGGCGTCTCTTTGCTGCTCATAGAGCCCCAGCTAATGAATCCTAATGCATGAAAGCTTTCCATCAATTATTTGGCTTGCTGTTGACGTGGGTTGGGAGTCACACGAGCAGATTTGGGGTGAGCTCAGACTGAGATCATAGCATGATAGAGTATCCCAAGTTGGAAGGGACCCATAAGGACCATTGAGTCCAACTCACACGATACATGGCAGGAGCTTCCAGGGAGCAGAGGGTTTGTGCACCTCAGCCCTGCTCTGCGTCTGGATAAAGTCTGTGCATGGCTGTGGGTGGGGTGAATTTAACCCTGAAGTTTGTCCACAGGAAGTATTTCTCCTGAGAAACCTAACATGTCAGGCACTTCTCATTGTGAAAGAAGAGCTTGGGAATGTCTGCCAGACCCATTCTTGCTCCAAAACGCAAACAGGGCTTTTGGGGAACACCTCACCAACCTGAAAGCCTCCTCCATCTTTCACTCACATTCGTTCCAAGCTCAGGTGAGGTGATGTAAACACCCCTGTTCATTGCGCCGGAGTTGGACTAGATGACTTTTAAGGGTCCCTTCTGTCTCAAATGATTCTATGATTCTACAACATGGGAAGGGCCATGGAGCTGCACATCACACACGGGCCTGAGTGCGCTCCTCACGCGCGCTCCTCATCTCCGGAAGAAGATCCACTAGTCAGGAAGTCACGGCCCTGATTACTTTGTCTTCCACGTTTAAGAACATCCCTAACTGCTCCTTGGATAGCTCAATTAGTAAAGTGAATATATTATATAAAGTCTAAAAGATTAAACTATCATAGGCAGCCCATAATTTCATGAAGAAGTCAGGGGAGCATATCCCTCTTATTAACTCTATAACAAATGTGATGAAAATGTTCAAATAGAATGTTAATGCAATGTTACGTGTAATTTTCCCAGGCGATTTTCTGCTGAAATATTTCTTTATTAATAGTAATTGAGGGTATAAATTATGAATGAGGCGATTTTCTCCTTTCACTGGGAAAGACGTACTAATGGCAATAATTCTTTATAATAATTTTTTGGGGGGAGGACGGGGAGGGGGCTGGGGTGAGGGGTTTAAAGAAAAAAAACCTTTAAAGGGATTGCAAAATATATAGACTAGCAGTGCATGTTTTATGGCAGGGCGCTGTATTTTATATCCGTGCACCGGGCAACGCGCGGCCGCTGGCGAGAGCAGCTTCTGCACGTGGGGAATGGCTCAGCACAGGGATGTGATGGGAGCAGCAAGGCTGCAGGGGTGCAGCGCTGGGCACTTCAAATTGCAGCGGTGCTGTGAGTTTGGGGCACTTCTGGGACACGTTGGGGAGCAGGGACAGGCGGTGCTGAGTGGCACAGCTGCTCACCAGGGGAACAAAAAGTCCTTTTTTTTGTCTTCTTTCATTCCAAAAAGCCGGAATGAAAGAGGCGTTTTACAAGGGTTTTCAGAGCTTGCTCTCCTTGAGGGCTGTTTGGTTTGTGACAAGCCAAACGGCTTGGAATTTTTTCCATGCTGTTAAAAAAAGGATGCTGGTTGGAGGGCGTTCCTTCGCTGCCACGCTCTGCAAACATCTCTCTTTTTAAAGAAAGGGGAAGTAAAGATGACATCCTAAAATTTTCTGTTGCCCAATTATCTGGAAAAAGGCTATGAGTGGTTTGAAACTCTTCTACCCAAGAAATCCATATTTTTCCCTCCTTGGGTTCTTCCTCAAGGGACATCTCTCACACTGGCGTACTCACTGCCCTGCCCTGACTGTCCCCATCCCCTCTGCTGGGCTGGGAACTGAGGCAGAGCTGCTCATTCCCCAGCGAGGATGCTCTCCCTCCACCTATACCCTCCCACAGGCACTGCCCCAGGCCCTGCCAGAGGCATCGCCTGCATGGAGAGGCCGACAAAATCAACGCGATCTGTCACCGACCCTCCT